CCCATTTGATTGTTTTCTTGAGTTGGGCTCTCACTTTGTAGCCCACACAGACCTCACACTTAACCATCCTCTTGTCTCTGCCCCTCAATTGCTATCTTATAGGTGTGTCCCTCCTTATCTGGCTTTCTCTTGGGAGGTTTAAAATAATGTCTTTATGCCTTTATTTCGGAAATGTGTGTCTTGTAGTTCTCAGTTATTGCTCAGTGCCTGGTGGACCACTGGGCTGTGAAGCTCTTTCCCCTCCACTTCCCAGAGGCTTTCTCATCCACTTCTCTATTATTTCCTGTATTTCATTTTACTGCTTCTTCTTCTAAAGCTTCTTTTGATTTAATACTGGGCTTCCTGTTTTGGTCTGATTTTATTTTCTCTCATTTTATGGAAGATTATTTATATCCCAATTCTCCTATTGATTTTTTAAATTTGTTTAGCTTATATTTAATCTCCAAGATTAATTCCTTTTTCACAACCACTTGTTCACATTTCATAGATACAATTTATCCTCTTATCTGCTCACCCACCTGGGTGAATCCTTCAAGGCTCAGTTAGGAATCTACATCTTTTGTGGCAGTCAGCCCCGCTCTGTGTTTGGGCAGGATTTCCACAGTATCTTTCTAATCTGCTAAGGTACCATCTAACAGGCTGTTACATTTAGAGTCACACTGCCTCCTACTAAAGGAATCAGTCCTATCTTCCCAATTGTCCTATAAGATGATCTGGGACAACCCTTAAAAATTAAATAAAAAAATAACTAATTATAAATTTTTGATAGTAGTGTTGGAACTCAAGGTAATTGCCCATAAAATGAAATGAAGATAAGGAAAAAAAAGACAAAAGGCAAAAACACATCAAGAAGACCAAACTGGAATTAAAAGTAACTCCAGAAAGAGACAGGGAAAACACGCAGAATTTTTTAAAAAAAGAAATGAAGAAAGTATCTTAATTTAAAACAAAAGGTTTGTTTGATTTAAGGCTTTTACTTTGGGGGTTAGGGTAGGCTGGAGACATGGCTCAGCGGTTCAAAGCACTTGCTGCTCTTGCAGAGGACCTGAGTTCAGTTCCTACCACCCACATCAGGTAACTCAGAACTGCCTGTAACTCCAGCTCCAGGGGATCCAATGCCCTCTTCTCTCTCTCACACACACACACACACACACACACACACAAAAAAAAAAAAAAAAAAAATTTAATTTTGTTTTCTTCCAAGAAACTGCCCTTTGTAGGTCTTGGAAGTATAAGAGATGCTTCACAAGTAATTGCTGCTTTGAATTAAAAGGCCAACTCGATCCTGGCACTGCAGGACATCCCAGCAGGGATTGCTCTGGAGCAGCAAGTACAGGAACACCCAATAGGAGTTTAAACATTTGTCCTGTGTCTCACTATGTTTCTTTACATAACTCCATATCAGTATTTCAGTGCAATGTTTTAGGATGCCTTCCTTGAAGCTCTCTACTTGTATTTCATAGAAGAAGAAAAAAAAATAAAAACATGTACACATACTTCCTTGTATTGCTTATATTTCATTGGGCTGTGAAATATTGAACTGAATTAAGTAGTTATCACACCCAGAACAGTTGGCACAGCCAGGGGCCTAAACAAACATATCTCGATCTTGATCAGCTTCTGACTTGGCCAGTAGGATCTGATGGGACTTAGGTGCACTGGAGAGCAGCCTGCCATCCTCTGGCCATTCTCTGGTCCAGAGCATCAATAAGTGGAAGGGATGAAGGATGTTCTATGCAATTTCATGGATGAGCATCAAAAGAGCACTCAGTGTAAACCAAGAGGGGGTTCTTGGCAGAAGTGGATCTCTGCCTCACTCCCAGGCCTCTTGGGCTCCCTTATAATCAAAGGCATACACAGGTGAGCCAGCTGACCTGAATTAGTGCTCAGTCCTTGTTGTTAAACCAGGTTGAGGCTCATAGCCCAGCAGGGGCCAGCCACCTTGGTCTCATTAAAACCAATGTCCACCAAGCTGAACTGTACCTTCCTGGCCATGAATTCTGAATGCATGCTGAATCTGCCAGGCCCACAGACCCAGAACCCTGTCAGAGATCAGCTGAGCTCCATCTTTCCAGCAGCTTGGGAAGTGAGACTTGAATCACACTTCCATGTCTACCCCTCCCTTCCCTCACTTTTCCGACTGCTATCAGGCTTTGGAGAAGTCAAACAGATTTGTAGAGCGGGTATAAGCTGTCCAGCTGGCTTTGGATGGCCCATGCCACAGCATGAATTGTGTTTCATAGCAGCAAGACCAATGGATTTCGGAGTCCTTCTGGCACTCTATTTTAGTTGCTTTCAAGTTGTGTTGAGCACAGTATCTGATAGGAACAGCTCAGTTCACTGCTGCAGAAGGTTTTGGCACATGGTGGAACAGGCATGGCAGGTCCTGAGATTAAGGCCATTCGCATCTTGATGGATCAGAACGTAGAGGTTAAGGCAGGAACCAGGGTCTGGGTACAGCTTTCAAAGGCTATCCATTGTGATCTACTCACATAAGTCAGCCCCACCTCCTCAAGGTTCCTCAACCTCCCCAAATTTCAGCACTGGCCAGGGAACAAGAAGTGTGAACCTTTGAGATTCGTACCATAACACGTGGTGTTCTCCTATGAAGTAGAAGAAATAAGTTGGTATTCACATTTGAACAAAACCTGTAACCCTGTTGGCATACTCCTGGAACTATGTAATGTTCCAACATGACAGACATGAAGAAGTTGTCATCCTTCCTGCAGGGCCCATGAGGGCTTGAGAAAACACCACAGAAAGTAAAACTGGAATGCTGTCAGAACATCTCACAGCAAACACCAGCCTCTGAGGAAGAGGGCCACTGTGCTGCCACCCCACTAAAATGGAAATGCCACTGTTGATCAGTCTATGGCCTACTTAGGGACTGGAGCATTCTACTTGACACTGGGTACCACACAGGACTCCTGGGCTCAGCGCAGCTGGCATAACTCTGCCATGTTCTTCAAACAGAAAGTGCGCCAGACAGTGGTGGCACATGCCTTTAATCCCAGCACTCGGGAGGCAGAGGCAGGCGGATCTCTGTGAGTTTGAGACCAGCCTGATCTAGAAGAGCTAGTTCCAGGACAGGCTCCAAAGCCACAGAGAAACCCTGCCTGGGGGTGGGGGAGGGCAAAAGCAGAAAGTGCTATTCTGTTTCTTCTAAGACTACCTCATAGTTGACTAATAAACAACACAGGCTGCATTAGATTCCTCATTAGATCAAATAACAGAATTAAATTCAAAGTATTACCAAATCCCCTTCAGCTCCTGTTTTTAATGTTGTTTCATTGCTGGATTTTAATATTATGTGCCCTCAGGCACACTACTCCCGACTCTAGTGTAGTTGATATTTAGCTAGTACTGTCTTTTCTTCTGCTATGTAAGGATTAGTAAGGCCTGAGTCTACTTTCCAAGTCACAAGCCAGGCACCTGCCTTCCTGGCCAGTTGCTGTCGCTCAGCCAGGGTGAGCTACACCATGTCTGTGAGCCTGGAGAGGGACCTCTGGGAACAGCACCTACCCAGCCATCCTTCTCCTCACCAGGTTCTTCATTCCTAGATAGCCACAACTGGTACCCCGTCTCCACAGGTTCTCCCCATGCTTACCACCCCCAGGCTTCCCTTCCCTTGCTTCTTCCACTGACTGTGAAAGGCAGCTTTGCTTTTCTCAAACACCTTTAAGCCACTGAACTTTCCTTGGAACATCTGGAGTGGTGTAAATGTTTCTTCTGTAGTGTGTCCTGTCTGGTCCCATCTGAGGAGAGCCTGACCTCTTGGATGTTCATACTGCTTCTGTTCTTAGTAGGCTTAGCAATGGGGAGACGTGAACTGTCACATGGTAGAATAAAGCAGGGAGATATACAGATAGTTGTATCACAGACACCAAAACTACCCATCCAGGGGCTGGAGAGATGTTTGCTGCATCTGCAAAGGACCCAAGTCCAGTTCCCAGCACCCATATAAGGCAGCCTACAACAGCATATAACTCCAGCTTCTAGGGATCTGACACTCTTCTGGACTACATGGGCATCTGCACACATATGCACAAAATCCACACAGAGGCAAACACAGATGCATATAACCAAATAAATTTTTTAAGTGCATATCCCTGCCTGACCCCAAAGACAAAGTGTCCATTCTTATTCACTACCTTCTTCATCAAAAAAATTAAAAAGTCTAGTCCACATAAGAGTGCCCCATCCTTTAGCCATTATGACATGACATTCTCATCTACAGCGTTCATACTTGAAGACCACACAGTCAAGCTGCAAACGGTATCCCAGTGTTTAAGTAAGTTTGAAGTTCTGTGTTGAGCCTGCAACCCATGGGTCACAGATCAGATGCCTCTGACAGTGACTCTCTTCTTCTCAAAAGTTACAGAACCCCTCAGTCAGCCACTGTGGACCTGAATCTCCAGGGTGGATAATCCCAGCACAGCTACCATGAAAGCCATTGGTTCCTAACTTGGAATAAGCAAAAGGAACTGTCTGTGACATCAGGTCACAATGTGGGGCAGCTCACATCCGCCTCTAACTCCAGCTCCATGAATCTAACATCTTCTGGCCTCCATGGGCACCTGCACACACAATTAGATACACACAGAGAGAAACACACACACACATAAATAGGCAATAATAAGTAAAAGACTCTGTCCTTTCTTGTGTTTTCTTTTTCTGTTCTTGTTTTTCTTTGAGGCGAGGTCTTATGTAGCCCAAGCTGGCTTTAAACTTGCTGAGTAGTTGAGGATGGCCTTGACTTTCTGACGCCACTGCCTCTACCTCTCAAAGGCTGAAATTGCAGGCTGGCAGGTTTGGTTTATATGGTGCTAGGGATAGAACCCAGGACTGCTTGCATGTTAGGCAAACACTCCACCAAATGAACCACACCCGAATCTCTCCTATACTTTCTTTCACTTATTAGCTGAGTAGATGACAAGTCATGGTCTGAATGAACCCTGTGTAATGCTGCCTCTCTCTCTCTCTCTCTTTCCTTGTCTTAGGGAATGCTGTCGGTTTTTTGGAGACAATGGCTTGACTTTGAAAGTGTTCTTTACCAAGGCAGCACCATTCGGTGTTCTTTGGACTCTCACAAACTACCTATACTTACACGCAATAAAGAAAATAAATGCTACAGATGTCTCCGTGCTGTTCTGCTGCAACAAAGCTTTTGTTTTCTTGCTGTCGTGGATCGTTCTCAGGGACAGATTCATGGGAGTGAGGGTAAGTTCTCTATTATCTGTCTTCCTCCCTCTCTCAGTCATGCCCACCAAAACCCTCCCATTGGCTTGCTTGGCTGCATGTGCTAGACTGCAAGCATCAACTATGACCACTGCCCTTCTGATTCTTAGCCACGCTCAGTTCTTGTTATGATTTACAGACCTTCTTGCTTACCGACCATGCTAGATAAGCATTCGTGTAAGCACCTTTCATCCCAAGCATTTCCAGGGCATTCCCTAAAGTTTGTGCCAAGCGGGGAGTCAGCCAGGGAGTGGTGATGTCTTTGTGCTGCTCTCTTCCTGTCCCATGACAACCTTCTGATCTGCAGCACACGGCATGGGTGTACCCCGCAGCTAGGAACTATCTGACATCCTTCTGACTCTTAGGTTAGGATGCATCTGAAACCCTGAGGATCCTTGGTGTACATGTATGATATGGCCTTGGAGCCTCGCCTGGACCATGTAGCCAGAAATATTGTTGCTGAGTTCGAACTAAGAGGTGGTGCAGAGGGTGGGAGGGGGTGGTGGCGCATTCCACTTCAAACTGTAGATCAAGGGCAAAGGCAATGACATCACTTGAATGGCCTGGCATTTTCCAGGAGAGTCGTAGTAAATTTAAAACTAGTCAAATTTCATGACAGTTGCATGAAACATGGTAAGTGCACTGCGGAAACCAGTGGGAACATGGAGTGACCTAACCCAGGGAGAGCAAACAGGTGCCATTTATCAAGGACAGAATCTCAGTGGCTTTCTGCCTGCTCCCTCTGGTGGCCAGGGGCTGCCTCTGCTGTTTATCTCCTTGCCACAGAGTAGGACAGAACACTGGTCACTCATGGTGCAGCTAATCATTTCCTCCTTCCTCCTGAATGCTCAGGGCCCAGTGCTTAGTAGCCCCTTCGAGCTAACCGTATTGGCAATCATCAAGAGGCAGACTCCAGATCCTCTGCTTCTGCCCTTGCTTCATTGTCCTGGGAACAATGACATCACCTTAAGGGTGGGCTTACGCCCACCTGAGTTATACAAACAGCAGTGGGGACATGAGTCAACTGTTGGTTCATATTTTTAGCTTACAGCGGGGGGAGAGTTTGTTTTGAGGCGCAGGGTTAATTTTGGAATAAAAACTCACGCCCCGGGCTGCCACCCAGAAAAGCCTTCAGCAAATAAATGATCTAATACATACATCTCTGGGGAGACTGCAGGTGCTTCACATGGACTCAAAGCTAAAGACTTGGATGTCCTAAGGATGCTGACCCATTGCCATGCCTTTTCAGGCTTTCTTGGGGGGGGTCAAGAATCAAGGGCCTTCATAGAGCATTGGGGCATGGTGCAGATGTCCCAAGCAAATTTTTGTTACTGGAAAAGGACACTTCAAAGTCAATGATACATGCTGCAGAGAAAACAGAAGGGTCTGAGGTTGAGAGGTGTGAGTGTGAACCCACTTGAACTACTCAGCCAACTCGCAGAACAGGGGATGGTTGAGATCTGTGCTTGTTTGTTGTCGGTGGAGAGGAAACGTTCCAACACCCTCCACTGGCATGCAGTCTGTTAACGTTAGCCTCTGATTGGAGTGCTCTCTGATGATCACTGCACACTACAGGTTTGTGCTAAGGCTTTCAGTACTCAGTGGGTGCTGTAGGAGAGGCCGCTGGGCCAGCATCAGTGACAGGATGCTGTAACATGCAGACACTGTGCAGGCACGGTCTCCTTTTAAGAGTTCATGGTTCGTCAATGAGGAACTTCCCACTGCAGGCTGCAGGGTCAATACAAAGCTCAGACGGCTCATGGAATCTGTGAGACCAAACAATAGGCAGCTTGGGAGGAGGGCCCAAGGTCATGTCTAGCTGTCAATCATTCAGCATACAGGTAGACATCTGGAGCAGGCAGCTACTTCCACTAAAAATTTCCAAAGACTTAAGAGATGATGTAGTTTCCATCCCAGGGTCTGCGTGAACAATGTCAGCTTCACAGGTTTGAAGGATATGACCAGGGTTCCTCCTTGTGTGCAGGGGCAGTGATGGGGGACTTGGGAGTGGGGAACAGCAAACGCCTTGAGTGATTAAAACAATTGCTTCAATCACCCAGTTACAGCTTGTTGAAGATGGGAAGGGGCACCCACAGTTCTAAGTCAGGTAGACAGATCCAGCACTTATAATAAATGCATTTGAGATCCTGGTCAGTCCTAGTGTCAGAGGGCAGGGTACTGCTGAGGTGTCTGATTGAATGGGACTCAAACTGCCCCCATCTCTATTTAGAGGTACTTTCCATGTGTGCCCTGGGGCAGAGGTTCTTACACGGTGGCCAGATGCTAAATCTGGGAGCAAGTGATGAGGCTGGGGGTCCTTGAGCAGAACACCAATGTCTGAACGTTAGCTTACCCAGTCTCTAAAATGGGCAGGGAAGGGGCCACCATTGGCTGCCTTGGATTAAGAAGTTATACCCAGAACTTGTGAAGCCACAGGACAAACTTGACAAGGTTTGAGGAGAGTTCACTGTGACACAGAAAACAGGCTGGGAATACTTTCACACTGAAGCAAGCAAACACAAATAAACTCCTGTGTCTTATGTTTGGAACATAAAGCAGGGCGGATCTTCATCATATCCAGAACCCTTGTACTCCTAGGCTGGGGATGGGCCTGGGATTGGACCTTCTGACTGAAGGATCCTGAAAGTGAGGTAGGAAACTGTCCACATCCTTCTGACACTGGCTGGAGCCTCATGTTCCAAAGGGGCTGCTGAAACTCAGAGAGCAGGAACCCCACTGTCAGATCTACAGACCTCCCTCGTGACCACTGCTAGACCCCAGGAAGTCAGTCTTTGGTGCCACCTGTGTGAGTGAGCCCACAGGACCTGAGTTGTCTCCACAGCTGAGGGGAGCCAGGGGACTGTCACCTGCTCTGTTTGATCCCTCTAGCCTCACACTGACTCTTCTACACAGCCCAGTTGAGGTGGAAGCTCTTCATTGTTGATTTTTAACCATGAGTGAAGTGAGTGGAAGAGGTTAGAAATCTGCCTTGTCAGTCTTCGGGAAAAATAACTCATTCCCCTCTGTTACTTCAGGTGCCAGCCATACATGCTCTTGGGATCACCAGAAATCTGGCTCCTCTCTCTGTTTATCTATCTGTCCATAATGTATCTACCTCTCATTTACCTATCATCTATTTGTCTATTTCCCCCCTCTCTCTCCCTCCCTCCTTTCCTTCCCTCTCTCCAGGGTTTCACACATACCAGGCTATCTTCAAATTCACAAGGTAGCCAAGGATGACCCTGAACTTCTGATCCTCCTGCCTCCAACTTCTCAGTGTTGGGATTACAGGTGCACACCACTGCTCCCGGATTATGCAGGGCTGGGGACTGAACCTGTGGCTTTGTGCATGCCAGGCAAGCTCTCTACCAACTGAGCCACATCATTCTGTTTTAAATTCTTCCTCTGGACAGATGCCTCTGAGACCTAGAGGGTTCCGAGCACCGTGGTCTCAGGGCAGGAGCACTTTGTCCCCCTTCTGAATTTCACCTGTTCTTGCTCTCAGAGTGGGGGGATGCTCTTTTTCTGCCGTCTCTGCTTCCTTCTCACGATAAACAGCTTCTCTCAGTGCATGCAGCATTTATGTATGAAGTGTGTGTGTGTGTGTGTGTGTGTGTGTGTGTGTGTGTGTTACATGAAAAGGGAAACAGCTGACTCTGAAGGAGCTAAAACCCAGCAAGGGCAAGCAGGCAGACAGGGCCAGGCTTCCCCTTACTTGGTAGTCAACAGCTCCCCTGGCCTCTTTTATAGGTAAGTATAGCACAGTATGGAACTCTTACAGAAAGCAGGCCCTAAGAAGACACATGTGGATCAGCTGGAGAGTCAGTCACAATGCCTCTTATTAACCTAAAGACTATGCGGATCCCAGACACGCCTCTATTTCCATCTAAGAGCATGGCTGGCAGTGGCTTACTCTTGTTGCTGGGACAAAATGCCCAACAAAGGTAACTTAAGGAAGGAAGGGTTTACATTGGCTCATGGTTTCAGAGTGCTAGTTAAACATGGTGAGGAAGGCATGAAGGCAGAACGCTGAGGCAGCTGGTCACACTCCATCAGCTGCCAGGAAGCAGAGATGTAAACAGCTGATGCTCAGCTGACTTTCTCCTTTTTATTCAGCTCAGGACCCCGGCCATGGGAAAGGGACCACTCACATTCAGGGTGGGTCATCCTACCTTCACTAACCCAATCTAGAAACGCACTCACAGACAGGTCCAGCATCTCCATGATGAGTCTAAACCCGTCAAGTTGACGATCATGATTAACCACGCACCCTGGGAATCATTGTCAACCATTTAAATGTGTTAAACCAGCTTTGTTTAGCACACCTGAAGAAGCCTCTGTTTTGGCTCTTCTACCACCAGTTATGTGCTTTCCAGCAGATCCCTTGTCCTCTCTGAGTCTAAGTCCTTATGCCTATGAAAGGGGTGAGTGACAGACACCAACTCCCATTGTGAGGTTAAGCGAGAAAGCACCCAGGAAATGCTTAGCTTGAATCCCCTGAAGCTTAGCTGTTAGATACTGCCCCTAAGGTCAGTTTTGAAAGATCTTCCCATCTCCTGGGGACTATGGGAGCTCCGTGGCTGCCTCTGCTTGGACTCTGCACTTGATCTGGATGCCAGGGCATTGTCCCCTCGGTGATCCAAATCTGCAACCTCCAAGTGCTAAGAACAGCATATAGGGGAGACACAGGGAAGACAAGGCTAAGGAGAAGGGAGAGGGACCACAGCTCCCAGGCAGGATATGGTCTGCTGCCCTTGTTGGTCAGTGATGCTGTCAAATTAGGACAACTTCTGCTGTCCCCACCATGCAATCCCTGCTGAAGAGATGAAACATCAAATCCAGGCCCTGTGAAGTACCTATAGAAGACTGGAGAAGAACCAGCAGTTCCCAGGTTCTGCCCAAGGACTGTCCCTTAGGCATTATCAGGACTGACCAACCTGTCCCCAGAATATGATCACCAGTCTTTCAAGACTCAGTGGCCAGCCCTGGAGCAGCCTGAGACAAAGCCACACTATCACCCTGTACCACCCTCAGATTTTGGTTATGCTAAGCTTGGATAGGTATCCTTAAGCAATACCCATCAGCCACCTCTGCCTATTCTCCCCGGGAGTCTTAGAATGAAACACCACTTTTCTTTCACCTGGAAGAACTCCTTGAATAGAACATTCTAGCTCTCAGGCACTTACAATTCCCTCCATGGCCTGACAATGTTTCCCTCACCCCGTCTCCCTACAGATCGTGGCTGCCATCCTCGCCATCGCAGGCATTGTCATGATGACCTACGCAGATGGTTTCCACAGTCACTCAGTCATCGGCATAGCCCTGGTGGTGGGCTCTGCTTCCATGTCAGCCCTCTACAAGGTAGGCATAAGGAACCCACCTTCTTGGCAGGCATCAGGGCAGCAGGGCTCTGGAGCTCACAGCCTGTCACTTTGGACATTCTGGAGATTCTGAGAAGTGCTGATATTCTCAGTATGCATCAAGAGGCAGACAGCTCCAGGGCAGAGCCAGGTAGGCAGTTAAGAAAGATTGGACCCCTGAGCCTGCCTGTTTTTGTGCCTGCTGGGGCATGATGACTAGATTATGTGTGTGCTTTGTCATGTAAACCTTTAGCCATGTGGTTTTCAGGGCACCAGCCAATTTGAGTCCATGAGTTCAAACAATGCTTGTGAAATGAATACACGAAAGTATCTTTTGGCAAGAGCCAGGCAAATGTCTGTCATGCAATTGCTCACTGAGGCAAGAGCATTGCCAAAAGCTTATGGAGAGCCTGGGCTATGCTACCAGACCTTTGCCTAAAGAAAAGAAAAGTTTTGACAAATTGTTGGAAGCCATTGGAAAATACTTCCTAACTGCCAATCTAGAAACAACAAATAACTGTCTGTGGCAGGGTGTGCGGCTCTTATACCAATTCTGTGAGATTCCATGCTATCACTTCCCCTAGCTCCTGTCTCTTCCCACTCCTCTCCTTTCCTTTCACCTAGGCCCACTCTCTCCTCCTTAGATGGATAATAAAAAATGCAGACATTTTCAGGGCTATAAACCGTCAGTTGTCTTCATGTCCCCGCTTCCCCTCCATACCAGTAATCACTTCCTTCCTCCAGCAAGGCCCCACCTCCTGAAGCTTCCACCACCTTCCCAAACAGCACCACCATCTGGGGACCATATGCTCAAACACATGCGCCTATTGGGGACATGCCACACCCAAACCACAACACCTGTATGGAGGGACTCACTGGCGGCCAAAAGCTCTTCACTTCCTTTGCCTGTTGCTTGCACATATGTGGGGAGCACAGCAGGCAAAGGAACCACAGGGACAGAGGAGGGACAGCCATGCCAATGCTTACCTGCCTGGACACCTTGTTCACCAAGCACCAGCTCGGTGGGGCCCACAGACATGTCTGAGTCGAGCCTCTGGCCCTCAAGCACATCTGTACCTCTTCTATCAGTCCTTTGAATTCCAAAAATGGTGTGCAAACAAGAACATTGCGGGGAGACAGAATCCAGAGCAGTTCACTAAGGCCTGTGTCATTTCTACAAAGGTAAGATGCAGCAGGGACTGGCGAAGCCCCTCAACTTTGGTTCAGAGAAAACATCTTTGCAGGTAAAGGTCCTCTCTCTGGAGGCAGTGGCTGTTTAACATGCTGCTCACAGGCAAAGCACTTGCCTTGCAAGCGTGGGGGCTGGAGTTCAGAATCCCAATGCTGTGGAAATACCAGCTGGGCATGGCAGCCCACCTGCAATCTCAGCACATGGAAGGCAGAGATGGGAGCACCTCCAAGGAAGCTGGCGAGACTAACCAAATGACCAAGCTCTGGGTCCAATTAGAAACCCTGTTCCAAAATGTAAGGGGGAAAGCAATCCAGGAAGACACCTGAGGTCAATCTCTGCCCCCCCCCCCCCCCCCACACACACACATGTGCTGTCCTGGGTCAGGACCCATTTGGAGACTCCAGGAGAGGATATGTAATCACACCAGATAGCTCTAAGGGAGGCAGCGTTGTGAGCACAACACATAACAGCCTCTTCCAGTATGCAGACCTATGACTCCTGGAGAAAAGCAATGTGAGGCCAGACATAATTCGGCCTGAGCTGCTGTTACACGACATGTGGGCAGCAGCATCCCATCAAGCTTCATCAGCCTCCACTGGCGGGCACAGAAGATCAAACCCAGTGGAACTATGGTGTCCCCTGTGCGGTCAGCCCCAGTTTTGTCAAGTATACACAACTCTACTCCAACATACATGGGTCCAGCGGTACCCTCACCTCTTCCTCTCTCTGGCAGGTTCTGTTCAAGCTGCTGCTAGGCAGCGCCAAGTTCGGAGAAGCGGCCTTATTCCTGTCCATCCTGGGTGTGTTCAACATTGTCTTCATCACCTGCATTCCCATCATCCTCTACTTCACCCGAGTGGAGTACTGGAACTCCTTTGACGACATTCCATGGGGAAACCTCTGCGGGTTTTCCATTCTCTTATTGAGTAAGTGGCACCTGCCCTGTGCAGAAGCCCCAGCAAGTAGCAACAGACACAGAACTCTTTGGAAACTCGAGTTAGGAAGGAAAAAAAAAATCCATGGCCCCTTCCTTGCTGGCCTAAAGGTCTCACTCTTTGTCACAGTCCTTGAATATTTTTAAAGAACAATACTTAAGGATTTTTTTAAAAAAAGATTTTTGGGGATGGCCTTAGACGGTTGGGCCTTTAAAGAGATTTTCTTATTTCATTGTACATGTATGGGTGCATGAGTTCACTTATGTTTATGAGTTTTGCTGGCCTGTATGTGCACCATGTATATGTTTGGTGCCTGTGGAGGTCAGAAGAAGATATAGATCCCGAAGCTAGAGTTACAAATGGCTGTGAGACTGGAGTTAGACTGTGAGCTACAATGTGGGTGCTAGGAGCCAAACCCCAATTCCAGACCTTCAAGAAGCTTAAGTTCATGGAGTGACAGGACTCCTTGTAATGCCTGCCTTCTCTCTCCCTGAGAAACTGGGGGGTCAAATCCACCAGCACAGAGGTCAAGGACAGGGCAGTTATGAATAACTCTAGTTTTCTAAATTCTTTATTTCAGCATTCAATATTGTATTAAATTTTGGAATCGCTGTCACGTATCCCACACTGATGTCTCTCGGAATTGTCCTCAGTGTACCTGTGAACGCAGGTAAGCATTGTTTCATGGATTTCTTTCTCTGTTCATTTTAAATATACCATCTTTCAGGCTTACACACACTTGAGAGCACACTTTCATGTAGCCACACATATGTATTCTTCCTGTGGCTGTTCACAATGCATATTTAACCTCTGCAAAGAAAGAAAATGCACTTAGTATAATGCTGTTTGTGGTGAATGCAGTATTTTCCCATGACAGATTTGTATTTTTTTTTATTCTTATGTTTACCTATTTTACAGTACTTGGGATGAAACCAAGGGCCTCGTGCACCCTAGGCAAGCTCCCTACCACTGAGCTATGCTCCCTTAGTCCTTTTTAAGCATTTTATTTTGAGATACATTCTTCTCTCTAAGCTGCCAGGTTGGCTTTGAAGTCACATCATAGCCCAGACAGTCTTTGATTTGAAGTCCTTCTGCTCAGCCTCTGGGATTACAGGCATATACCATCAGGCCCAACTTAACAGAGAGATTTCTATGTCCAATTGAGCATAGAACATCCAAGGCTGTCTCTATTCTAATGAAGAATAGAGCTAGAAAATCATGGAGCAGAAAACGACTGAATTTTTGCAAGTGACTTTGTTGGGGTGAAGTTGTCATATTGGGTAGCCATGTGGAAACAGGCTGGCACTCCAGTGAGGCAGGAATGTTTTTTCCTTCAGTCTCCTGGGAGAGGGTGAAAGCCCTTTGTTTGGTTATGGGAACCCACTTTGTCCTGCCCTGGAGCTTTGTAACTGGCATGAGTTGGCGGCAGTTCTTCCCAAAGCTCACCTTCATCGGTCCCTCACCTACTCTCCCATCTTGCCTTCGGTTATTTGGACTTCCTCTCCAGAATCCTCTGTCTCATTCCCTGGCTCCTGCAAAGTTGCCTCTGGGCTCCTGATTCCAGGGCATTAATGGACTGGTCTCCCAGGAACCTAGCCCCATAGCCTATTCCCAACCAAAGCCACTCTTGATTCCAGAGACTCTCCGGAAGTCCAGCTTCCTGACTTCCCTTCCCCCACTCTGTCCCACAGTTCTGTATATGCCTCACCTTGGCCAGACTTTCCCAGGTGCTTCATGGCCACCATATGTAGAGGCCTTAGAACACTGGGCTCAGCCCAGCACTCCCAACTCCATTATAAATCTATGGTACCCATTCATCAGCCCTTTGGTTTGTATCTCCTCACAACTGAAGGCTGTGCATGCTCTTTTTGCTTCCTGTTGAGAAACAAAGGAAACAATCAACAAGACAGCTCTTCAGAGCTGGGGGTGGATGGCCAGCATGGCAGTACACCCTTGCAATTGCAGGCCCCAGGAAGCATAGGCAGGAGGCTCCCTGGGCTCATGGATCAGACAGTCTGGCCTATTTAATGGGTTCTAAGCAAGAGAGAGACCCTGTTGCCCAAAAGGTAGGTGATGCCCAAGAAACAACTGCTGAAGTGTACCCTCATCTCTACCCACAGCACAGCACTCGTGTGTACACACATTCATGTACACACACACACACACACACACACACACACACACAGAGAGAGAGAG